TAAATAAAATTTCAAAGTTAGTTGAATATTAATATGGCATTGGAGTTTCAAGATTTGGTTTATAAAGTATGGAATATTACATTGTGTGGTAGGTAACTGAAGGAGTGGACCATTTTCGAACTTGTTTTAAGTTTGAAAAATATTATATTATGATGTGTGTATTTTGTATCAACTCGGACATTCCACACGATTTGGACTATCAAATGTTGACCATTTTGTGGTCCAACAATATTCAGGCTTGGTAAAAATATTGGGATTGTCCGCTCGTATGATATTACAAAATTAATATTTAACAAAATGTTTACCATTTTGTGTGGCAAGTACCAGAAGGAGTGAACCAATATGTCTCACCATCGAACTTGATTTATGTATGGATGAAATATTACGAATATTGGTTGAAATCAGTTACTTCCTTGGAAAGTTATCATGCTCAGCAGCCAGCCATTCCGTAGATCTCCACAAACCATAGGCTGAGGGTAAATATCTGTCAGCAACACATACTGACACGTTTGTGCTTGCTTTGGTTATAAAATATTACTATAACTTTTAAAATACCCGAACATGGCCAAGATCGTCCTTATTTTTTCTAAAAATATATTAATTTCCCTTTAATGGACACAATGAACAAAAATCGAATATCAATTTTTAACCGCCATCAATTCAAATAAATTGGGGCAATTTTTTTAATTTTTCTTAATACTCACTTGTGGAAATTCGCATAAACTACACATTCATCCCTAATAAATAGTGAAAGTTTCATCCAAATATCTCAATTCATTCTAATGTTATAGCCATTTGAAGTTGACCTTGTGTCAAAATATAGCAGCTACACGATTCTGTTTGCCTAGTACCAAAAACTGAAAAAAGTTTAAAATGCAATTGTACAAAAATCGAAAAATGCAGCAGGCTAGCTGTGTTACCAGATCGTTTACATAGTATTTGAAAGGTTTTATTTAAATTATGAGCATACTTTTAGGCGTTGCATTAAAATCTATGTCCTCCACTTTTTCCACGTAAATTTCCACGCGTCTGAAAGTATGCTCATATTCCGCCAACCTGTATCAAAACTCAAGCATAACACGAACAAACAATCTGGCAATGTTGCTGGTGGCTCTATTTTTCTGTCTTTGTGAAAATGCAATTTCTTCGTTTGAGGTACTAGGCAAACAGAATCGTGTAGCCGCTATATTTTGACACAAGGTCAACTTCAAATGTATATAACTTCAGAATGAATTGAGATATTTGGATGAAACTTTTAGCTATTTTTAGGAAATATTTTGTAGTTTATATGTATGACAATATTCATGCATTTTTTCAACAGAGAACTATGAAAATTATGCTAATTGGAAAATTTGTCGGAATCGCTTTCAATTTCTCGATGTATGATGGGTTTAAAAACATTTTTGACATTCGATTTTCGTTTAACGTTTCCTGTAATGGAAAATTAACATGTTTTCAGAAAAATAAGTACAAATTCGCCCACGTTTATATATTTTGAAGGAATGTCAATAGACAAGCATTTTCACATCTGAGAACTATGAAAAGTATGCTCATTTTCATCCAAATGGCTTTGAAGAGCTAGATGTATGGTCATTAAAAAAAATATTCGATTTTTTTGTGAAAATGCAAATAAAAAAAAATATTCGATTTTTTTTTAATGTTTCTAATAATGGGAAATTAACACATTTTCCGAAAAATAAGGACGATCTTGCCCATTCTTGTTTATTTTGAAATTTATATTCATATTTTAAAACCAAAATAAATAAAAAAGTGTCAGTTGCTGTTACCGACAGATATATAGCCTAAACCTCTAGTTTGCGGAGGTCTACGGAATTATTCACAACTATTATTATTCGTTGCATAGAAGGTATATTTTATCAATGGTCAAAAAGGAGGTTGCCCTATAGACCATATCTTCGGATTTATTGTAGGTTTGGGTAATGAGGGTTTTGGCTAATGAGTATATATACATACATACATGTGTCTCATCGAAATATTGGTTTTAGACCTCATGTTTCTTTGGGCCAAATCCGTTTCAAACAATTTGGACTTGATCCGTTTGTCCGTCCGTCCGTTAACTTAGAAAAAAGTAACCGATTTTATCTTAAAACTTAATTTCACAATCTTAAGTTCGAAGTTGATGAATCTCGGTCAACTCCTTCTGAAACCTGTAACACAAAATGATTCAACTTTTCCTGAAAATGAATTTTGTAATATCATAAGAACGGATTATCCGATTTGAACCAAACTTTGCACAACCTAATATTTTTATAAAGCCTTTATATTATTGGAAGATGGGACTTATCCGGGCATTTCTTCTAGTACCTCCCCCGCAAAATGGTCAACATTTTGAAAATTTGTTAATCCAATAACAATCGAATGAATTTTCCGATTTTATACAAAATACCCACATCGTAATATTTTTTTCAAACATAAATCACGGGACCCATCCGTCCACTTCTTCTGGTACATACCACACAATGTAATATTCCATACTTTATACATCTTGAAAATACAATTTCATATTTCAGGGTATTATAGCTTGTGCAGCCCCAAGAGTTTGCAACGCCGCGAAATATTGGTCCTAGACCCATCTTTTGAGTATACCGGAGTGGTTGGCCTTATGAAAACGTAAATAGTTTACTATACTATGACCAGCAAATAATTTGTATAACAAAAATATTACCTAGGGAAATTAAAGAAAACTTAAGAACTACATTTCATATTCAAGAATGTAAACTATTTGCAACAGGTCAAAAATGATAACCATAATATGTGAGGTTTAAATTTTAGACGATCGGTTTTTGGGTGTATCCACTCGATGGCGCTGACGACAATTGACATGTTTTCGGAAAATTAGAGTTTTCTAGGTTTATTCAAAACTTTTGAACGCTTAACGACAGAGGTGCAAATTGAAAGCATATGTGTAGCTCAGAATATATTTTTTTGTTGAGTGGTTGTAAGGCACTGATTCTATTGTAAATTATGTATCCTTAGGTACTACTTAAACTACTCTTGCTTAGCCTAATTTCAACAACACAAAATACTTATCAGTCATATATTTGTTCTAATAATAGAATTTGATCTGTGAAGAGTTTTCTCATCACCAACAACAGTCTTATCAGCGTTGCATGTGGGATTTTAGACTTTTATCTTAAAACACTCCAACGATCAAATCTTCTGTAACATAAAATTCTGTTCAAAGTATTTTGAATACCAATAACATCAAATTTTAAAACTTTATTTACCGCTTTGATTTTAAAGTCTGAAATACAAAAGAAGTTATGGCACAAATAAAGGAGGTTTGTAATTTTTCCAAACCCGTCGTCAACGCCATCTATTGATGGACATGATTTAAATCAAGCACATTAGTTTTTGTAGCACAATTTTCAAAGCGCATAACTTTTGAATAGGTTATCGCTTTTTAACTAGACAATATATGATTATAACTTCCATACGACACCAATTTTATTGTAATATCTGCACTGTGAAATAAGTTATGGCACATTAGGTTTAAATCGATTTTTGGTTCTACCCATTTAATAGATGGCGCTGACGACAAGTACCGACGAAAATACCGACGTAATTTTATATTCTTCATAACTTTTGAATGATACAGATATAATTGTTTATTTAAAAGATAATTCTAGTTTTTATAACGCCTTAAAAAACATCCATTATCTTACCGTATTGAATAAATTTTGTCAGAGTTGTCATGTTAACAGCAAATCGGAATTTTCTGTGATCCGTCATAACATTTGAACGCGTAATAACATTTGTAACGACAAATTTCCTCCGGTTGCTGGGATATAATAAAGTGATCGAGATTGGAAAGATGTAGTTTTAGCTTTCAAATTCAGAATACATCGCATTATTTTAACTTAAATTTATACCTGGATCTCATATAATTAAATTATTAAAGTCTGCAACGTCTGCTGCTACTGCTACGGTACTGCTGTTGGTTTTACAGGAACTGGGGTTTACTGGTTCTGGCGATCCGCAGTTGGTTCCGGCCCTTGCTGCTGCTTTCGATATAAGCCTTGACGCTGTCCGAGGTTTCAACACTTTTCTATAAAGGCCCACGACGGATCTTTATCTCCTTTATATAAAGGGCCACGACGGCTCTTTATTTTGGGGTGCACTTAAAATCACTCTTTATTGCGCGTTGGTTAATCAGGGACAATTATCAATCACTACTTTACACTCACCGACATTCTTCCCTTTCTCCGTTGGTGATCTTTCCTCTTTTCTGGACCTTCCTGCTTGCTTGACCGCTCGGCACCAACTGTTCCCGAGCCAGGCTTGGCTCTCCCTTTTCTACAGTCAGTGGCGAATTCAAGGAGGCTTCCACTCGCCTTCCCGACGTCGAACCTCTGCTACCGCACCGATCACGTGGCCTCTCTGCTAATGGGATCTTGTTTACGAACATAGTGTAAAGATTAACGGGAACATGTTTACATCTTCATTAGAACTTACTTTCAACTAAACCTTTTGGGCACAACTTTACTTCTCTATTTTGTTCAATTTATTAATTAATAACTTTGGTTATCAATACAGTATTTAACTATTTTAATTTTTAATATTATCGGAAATTCAAAATAAAGAAAAATTTAACTCTTATAAGAAATGTTAACAAAATATAAAAAAATACTAATTATTTTTTTAATTACTTTAAAACCCAAATTATTATTTTTTTAGTTGTGTTTCTGGTGTGGACGAAAATGAGGGACGATTTTCGTCCTTACACAGATACAAATCAAATATATATTTTTAGCTTAGAATATCTTCTTTGTAACCGCGAACAAGGTGGTTTACCGGACTTTCCAGTAACTGAAAATTGAAAAACTATTTTTTAACGATTTTAATTTTTTGTGTTTATTATAAAAAATAATTTTAAAATCAGTGTACAAACTAAAAATTAAATTAACTTACAAAATATTTCAACTTAATATTTTTCTCTATTCTAACACAATACTAATAACTAAAAATATAGCAACGAATTAAACAAATGTAGCACGTCTCACAAGACCATCACTGCAGCCAATATAGACAGCCTTGTTGTTGGCACAACACAAGGCATTGACACAGCTGCCGGTGTCCACTTCACCCAAGGCCTTCAGCTTGCCCTCATCCAAATTGGACCACCCTTTAACCTTGTTGTCATAACCACCCGTATACACATGGACCTGATCGGTGCAAATGGCATTGATGATCATTTCATGGCTGTCCTATAATTTTCAAATCAAAATTCAAATTAATTAGATGTTGAACATTTTAAATATTTTCATCTCTCAAACCCACCTTTTCTTCAAGTAAAACCTTAAATTTCTGTTCCATTGCATTGCTGACAACAAGGAAACCCTTTCCCGTACGATCGGCCACCACAATGTACTTATGTCGTCCATCATCAGTGGGTGCAACCAAACACAATGGCGACTTCGCCGGCAGTACAGACTTGGTAACATATTTTCCCGATTTCCCGGGTACAATTTCCGATATGACCATATCTAAATCACGCACCGTGTATATCCAACCTTTTTCCGCCGCCAGTGATTTAACTTCTTCTACAAGATTATATTTAAAAATCATTTTATCATTTTCCCAATTCGAGACAACACCCTTATCGTCGCCGGTAAAGAGGATATCTCCCTCACAATACATCGATTGGATGACATCATCACAGCGTAGAAGTTCTTCAACTTTATCATAGGGTGGTAGCATAAATTTCACACAACCATCACAGGAACTGGAATATAGTTTGCCCTTGCTATTGGCGGTCAAAGCGTAGATATACGATTCATGGGCATCAACGCTCTTGACGAGATTTAAGTCCTTATCCCAAATCTGTAAATGGAATAAAAGAGGGGAAAATGTTTTAAAATTTTGCCATCATAAGTGATTGGATGATATGTCTTTATTATTTAAAACAACATTGTTGAGTTCGGCCGCACCGGAAGTTGGAAACTTATCTGCACATTCCTTCTAGTATCTCCCCCACAAAATAGTAAAATTTTTGAAAATTTGTTAATCCAATAACAATCGTATGGTATGTCCAATTTGATACAAAATATGCACTTACAGTATATATCGGATATAAGAAACTCCAAAAAAGCCGGAGATTTCTTTCTTATATGCGTTTTTCCTTATATGGAATTATCGGATATAAGAAAGTATAAGCACGGTTCTTTTGATAGTATTTCTTATATGCGATTTTTTCTTATATGAGATGTGCTTATATCCTATATCTACTGTAGGAATATTTCTTTCAAACATTTTCATATTTTTTCAAATCAAGTTCGAAGATGGGACACATCCGTTCACTCCTTCCAGTACTTCCCACACAATGTAGTAGTCCATACTTTATAAACCTTGTGTTTTGAAACTCCAATTTCATATTAATATTCAACTAATTTTGAAATTGTATTTATATCACAAAAAAGTATACGGTTATACCTTTCATATGACACCACTTTCATTCGAATACCATCAATTCGAAAACTGTCGTCAGCGCCATCTATTGATGGACATGATTCAAATCATGAAAATCAGTGTATAACTTTTGAATAGACAATCGCATTTCAACAAAAATTGTATCATATGAAAGAGTAAATAATACACTTTACTATGACCAGCAAAAAATTCAAATATTACCGAGGAAAATTATAGAAATCGTTAATGCCACTTTTCACATACAAAAAGTAAAAAATTGATATTTTATCAGAAAGTATGAAATTATACCTTTCATATAACTCCAATTTATTTATTTTAATATCAAAAGTTATTGGAAAAACATAAGTTACAGGAAAAACAAATTTGGTTTACATTTTGCATAGATGGCGCTGACGACAAGAGTTTGCCATTGATGCCAAACTTAGAGAAAATCATTGTCATTTTAGATTCTTTATTACTTTTGAATGCGTAATGATATCGCATATAATTCGAAAGGATATTAATACAATATAGAACATACACTATGCCATGTTAACAGAAAATTAAAATTTTCAGGGATTAAAACATTTGACTTAAATAAGGAGGGAAAGGAAAGCAAAATGGCTCGACTCCGATATAAACGCTGACACGGCGGAATCCGTAAAAAAACTCTCGGTTGCCGTACACAAAAACTGGTCAAATGTTATAAAATGTACAGTTGCGCTCAAAATAATAGCAGTGCATCCTATAATCAATCAGTAGTTGGAAAACGAAGAAACATGCCGTGATCCAAATAGTTTTATATGGTGATACTGGACGATGGATATAAAGGACTCTGTTGCACCATTTACATAAAATCGAACGAATATATATATGGGAGCTATATCGAAATCTGAACCGATTTTTCCGAAACTTACCACTAATCATTCTAGACTCAATTCAGTACGCTATGCCAAATTTGAGAAAATCGAAAGTTATACAGGGACTTAGGTGCACCATTTACATAAAATCGGACGAAAAAAAAAAAATATATATATATATATATATATATATATACATATATCGAAATCAGAACCGATTTTTACGAAATTTAACACACATCACTTTAGACTTAATTCAGTACGCTATGCCAAATTTCGTGTAAATCGAAGACGAAAATATATATGGGAGCTATATCTAAATCTGAACCGATATTCACGAAACTTACCACTCATCATTCTAGACTCAGTACAGTACGCTATGCCAAATGTCGTGCAAATCGTAGGATATAAAGGGACTCTGGTGCAACATTTACATAAAATCGGACGAAAATATATATGGGAGCTATATCTAAATCTGAACCGATTTTTACGAAACTTAATCCACATCGTTCTACACTACAATGCCAAATTCCGTGCAAATCGAAAAAAATGTAGGGACTTTGGTGCACCATTTACCTTAATTCGGACGAAATTATATATGGGAGCTATATCTAAATATGAACCGATTTTTCCGAAACTTACCACATATCACTCTAGACTTAATATAATACTCTAAGCCAAATTTCGTGCAAATCGAAGAATATATAGGGACTCTGGTGCACTATTTACTTAAAATCGGACGAAAATATATATGGGAGCTATATCTAAATCTGAACCGATATTCACGAAACTTACCACTCATCATTCTAGACTCAATTTAGTACGCTATGCCAAATTTCGAGCAAATCGAAGGATATAAAGTGACTTTGGTGCACCATTTACATAAAATCGGAAAAAATATATATGGAGCTATATCTAAATCTGAACCGATTTTTACGAAAATTAACACACAGTATTTTAGGCTTAATTTAGTATGTTATGCAAAATTTCATGCAAGTTGAAAGATATATTGGTGCTTTGGTGCACTATTTACGTAAAATCGGACGAAAATATCTATGGGAGCTATATCTAAATCTGAACCGATTTTTCCCAATTTCAATAGGTTTCGTCCTTGGGCCAAATAAATGGTTTGTGCCAAATCTCATCATATTCGAATCAAAAATGCGACCTGTACTTTGTTTACAATTTAACATCGACAGACGGACGGACATGCATAAATCGACTTAAATGCGATTCTATGCATATTCTCAAAAGGAAACATATGCCTATCTCGTTTCCTTTCGCCTGTTACAAACATATGCACAAAGACACAATACCCTGTAGGTTATAAAAAGAAGGTGGTTTTCTTCAGTAAGAATATTGCCATTATTTTGGCAGCAGCTGTATATAGCGAAAAATCGAAAAAAGATTCTTGCAGGTTCTGGAACAGAGCAAGGCGGCTGACAATATCCATGAAGTTTGAACAAACTTCATATAACCATAAAATATGATAATTCATAATTTTCACAAACTCACTTGCAATAGATTTAAAAAAAAATCATTTTTTCATATTTTTTGAAAATATTTTTTTTTTTTTTAACTTTTACAATGTGACTACAAATCGGAAGTTCTTTTGTCGAACAATGACATTTTCGTGGGCGAAACATAAAACACAAAGAGAAAAAATTGCACACACATACTCAGAAACGACAATTCTCGAAACAAATGTTTTCTGTCATGAGAAGATTCTCTTTTTTTCTAATACCCGAGAGAATTTGCCAGAAGTTTCCCAACAATATTTTACATATTTTGTTCATAAAAAATGTTTGTGTTTTTTAAATCAATTCGTTTGTTTTTTTTTCGTTTTTTTTTTCAATACTAACTTTAATTTTACCATCAGCACCACCGGTAAATATTTGATCACCATACGAGGCAATGCAGACAATATCACCTTCGTGTTTTTCTGCTGAGACTTTGTCAATGGCTGGCATTTTTGGTTGATAGATTTTTTATACTTTTTATTTTGTACTTCTTTTTATTTAATTTTAAATAATTGTTTTTTGTTTAAAACAATTAGAAAAAAAATATTTGTTCCGCTTTTTTCTTGTAGTGTTTTTCCTTGCAAATCCAATCAAATACTAAATCGAATTTTCTCACGACATGAGAGATTTTTATACTGCCAACAAACAGAATTACGTTGATGTGATCTATTTTTAGATCAACGAAGTGATATATATCCTTACAAAATAAAAACACTATGTTGTAGTGTATGCTATAGACGGTATAATGTGTTTGTTTATTTGTTTGTAAAAGGGGAGAAATTTCTTCGAAAAATCAAGAATAAAACGGCATATACATTAGAACTTTTTACCGGGTTAACCTACTTTATGAGGATTTATTTGACATATATGCAAAGGAATTGACAATTGAAACCCACTGGGTTAACGAAATCCGGTTAAATGTAAACGTACTATAAAATAAAGACTTTATGTTAAGCCGGGTCGAATTTTTATATTTTCCACAGAATACCTAAATCGATCGGTACTTCGGGGATAAGGGGATAAGACCATTCAAATACATATTATGAGGCTGGACCTTTATATGGGGCTATACCCAAAGATCAACCGATATTTATAGTTATGGTAAGAAGATTTACCCCCAACTAAGAACTCAAAATACGAAATTATATAAATTATTCATATTGTAGCAGTATTTTTGGTTCGACCATTACCGAACATGAATTGATTTTAGTCTCTCTTTCTCTCATAGATCACATACGGAAAAAATCTATCATTCAACACATCGGTCATTGCTTTACTTTTTTCTTTTAAATTTAAATAATTGAAATGATTTGTTCCAGAAATGGCAAAAATACGTCGTCGCAAATGGGCATACTGCAGAACAGCTGTTCTCAGTCATATTTGTATTTTGATTCCACATATTTCTAGATAAAATCGATAGATACTTTTTCAAGAGGTATAAGAGGCGTAGATTATTTAAAGAATATTTTTTCAAGGACTACAGAGGCGTGGAATATTTAAAGCATATTTTTTTCAAGGACTACAGAGGCGTGGAATATTTAAAGCATATTTTTTTCAAGGACTACAATAGGATTTTCAAGGATTATTTAAAGAATATTTTTTGTAGGGGCTAAAAAAGGCGCGGATTATTTAAAGAATATTTTTTTAGGGGCTAAAAAAGGCGCGGATTATTCAAAGAATATTTTTTTAGGGGCTAAAAAAGGCGCGGATTATTTAAAAAATATTTTTAGGGACCATGACAAAGCGTCGATTATTTAAGGAATATAGGGGATGATAGATTCACTCCAGTTGATGAGCGAATTGCTATAAATTGTAAAAAAAAACGATGTTCTTCCACATCAGTCTCATTCCATGCTTCGACCGAAGACAAAGATGAGCAGACCAAATACATATTATACGATCGCCTGCTCTGGCCATGACATTAAAATTTTGCTAGGAGATTTTAATGCAAAAATAGGAAGGGACATATTTTTAGCCCCACCATCGGAAAATTCAGCCTCCTCCAACATTAGACAACGACATGAGGTTGATTGACTTCGCGGCAGCAAGTCAATCAAGCATGTAGATATACACAAAGCCACCTGGATTTCTCCTGATCAAGCAACGAGAAATCAAATTGATCATGTTGTGATAGATGGAATGCATTCATCTAGTGTTTTAGACGTTCGATCGATTCGAGGAGCAAACTTGGGTATCAAAAACCGCCACAGCGTATAGGGCAACCCTGCAGACAATAAATGATGTAAAATTATTGGGAGAAAAGGAGAGAGGAGAAACGTATTTTCAGAAAAAATAATGAAAGAACAAGAAAAACGTGATCGTGAGCAAATCGAGATGTACAGGAGTCAAAATTAAGTCCGAAAATTCTACCAACGGGTTAAACACCAAACCGAAAGCTTTATTGCAGGCACATCCTCCTGTAGAGATAAAGAAGGAAACCTGGTTTCAGATACAGACATCATGCTGAGGATCTGGAAGAAGCATTTTGAAAAACTTCTGGTATCAAATAGTAGCGGTGAAGAGGAAACCCCAGAACCAATAATAGATGACGGTATAGAGTGTATACCACCTAGCCAAGATAAAATCAGAATAGTAATCAATCGGCTGTAGAATAATAAAGCAGCAGGTATCGATGGGTTACAAGCCGAACTATTCAAGACTGATGGTCAGATGCTGGTAAGGAGCATGCGCCAGCTGATTAGGCTAGAAGAATGCATGCTCAATGATTGGAACCTCAGCATCCTGTGTCCCGTGCACAAAAAAGGAGACAAGACGATATGTGCCAACTATAGAGGAATAAGTCTCCTAACCATCGCATATAAAGTTTTATCCAGCGTATTGTGTGAACGACTGAAGCCAATGACCAATGACATTATTGGACCATACCAATGTGGCTTTAGGCCTGTCAAATCCACCATTGTATTGTTTAAAGCCATGTCTGTGTTCGGCATGTCTGTAAAATTAATACGGCTATACAGGATACGTTTAACTGGCACAATATTAGCAGTTAAAGTCGGAAAGAGCCTTCCAATACCAAACGAGGGTTCAGGCAAGGTGACAGCCTCTCGTTTGACCTTTTTAACATCCTGCTAGAAAAGGTCTTACGAGAGGCAAACGTGAACAGAAATGGCGCTCTGTACAACAAACAACACATGTCACTCGCCTACGATGACATTGGCATAATGTCACGAACATTGCGAGCGGTAACATCCGTTTTTAAGCAACTTGGGGAAGAGTCTACCAAAATGGGCCAGGCAGTAAATGCCGCAAGACGTCCAGTAGACTCGGACCAACTGAGAAACTTGAGAACTACAGATTCTAGGCTATCAAAGATTTTATATACATACCTCGCTATTGCCATAATTAAAAAATAACACAGTCTTTTTCCCCTCAATATGACACCATATTTTTGTTAATCGAGCAATTTTTAGAAAGTTACAGCCAGTGAAAGACAAATCGAAGGAAAACCCGACGAGAAAAGCTGTGATACCTTGGCATTGGCTATATACAAGAGATTTTTCTACAGCGTTAGCATTGACGATGTAAGTGCAAATTTACCAGCTCTTTAGCCACCATCACAAACTTTTTCTGAAATCGTCGGTCTCCGAAGCCATAAATGGCTACAGATGGAATAAAGTCCTACTCCAACATCCTCCTGCAATTTCGGATAGTGAGAGGATTCTTTCTAGGCACAGCAATGTTCTCAATTCGTATCGAGAGCGCATTGCCCCCGGAAACCTAAATAGGTGTCCCTCCTAATAAATATATATTTTCCTTTTCCTTGTTCCGTTTTCTAACAACATTTTCAGGAAAGAACTTTCGCCAACAGCGAACTTGTTACATCAAAAACGGATCTTATTATGACCTGCAGTATTATTTATATCTATTAACATTTTCCGTCTTATTTTGTAGCCTGGGAGCGATTTTGAACTTGTTCCCTTCTAACTGACAGTCAATAAATTTGGTTTGTATTCTCCTAAATTAGACCCTTTTACTATTTTCATTAATTTCCGATTTCCGAAAGTAACGTTTGAATAAAAATATTTTAATTTAAATTTATTATCATTTAGCCATTTCAATTGTTTGTTGACAAAACGAAATTAAAATTGGTCGCCGTCTTACGTTTGCAGGGTTGTATTTCACACACAACTACTTGATAGTAATGACATTTCCCATAATGAGTACTCGCCAATGACATTACTCGTCAGTCTAACAACACTACTACGCTAAGGAAGAAGAGAAAAATTTTTATACGCTAAGCGAAACTATTCCAATAGATTTATTATTTAATATTTTGTAGTTTATATCGGAAATAAATATTTAATATTTTAGTAAACGCGATAATACAAAACGTCCAATGTGTACTTGTTGTGAATTGAGCGATTTAAATGTCCAAACATTAGCTCTTCGCCATAAAGGTGGAGCTAAAGTGATTAACCACAACAACAACGACAGCAGCAGTGGCAATAGAAGTGAAAAATAAATAATTGGAAAGCGCAGGCAGTCAGTGAACGCCAAGAAAAACAAACAAAAAGTTTATACGAAAACAAGAAATAAGGAAAAACACGACGAAGTAAATAAAAGGAAATTGTGGCCAAAATTTGAAGTTATTAGTAGTGAATATTATGTTACAAGAGAACGACGAGGAATATCAGAAGGAACGATTTCTTTATATATTGTTGATGACAGTGAATGTGTCCATAACATTGGTGGTAATGTTGGCGGCGTGTCTCTGTTGCAAGAAAAAATTGCCAAAGTGAGTAATAAAACGAAAAAAAAAATCAAAAACCCCAAAATAGAAGACAACGAAGACTTCGGCGATAGCGACAATCATGATTATTATTGCAGTTTGTGTCATAGAGTAGTGAGGTGACAGTTGTTTGTGGTTGAGGAGGAGGCAGGCAGTGTGTGCAATTGTGGGCTATTACACTCATCCAACAACACAATCCGCAGAGAGAAACATGGTGTGAGGAGGGGCAGCTTACATTGTGAGCTTAAAGTCGTGTCTTTTCTCATTTCATTTGTGTTGGTGAAACCTTTCTAAATCATAGCAGCGCAAATCGATGTGGAGTATTACAGTAGCCGCCATAGCCCCACCACTGCTGCTATTTTATTCAGTGTAAATGTTTTAGTTGTTGTTGTTGTGGGTTTTATAAGGTGTTTGCATTTTAATGTATGTTTGTCGTACGTTTTTTGTGTTGTTGGACCAACACACAATATTGTAAACATCACTTTGATGTGTTTTGTGGGGGAAAGTATTGCAAGTCTCCATGAATAAGTTTGGTAGCAGCAGCAACAAAGTTTGCAGCAGTAAAGGTGGCATAACACAACAACAACAGCAACAAAACCTTACAAATGACGAAGATCTAGTGTAGTTGTTGTTAGGTGCTATAGTTTTGTCCCCCTTCCCTATGGTGGATGCAACATCAGACCATTCGTTATGCTTGCAGAATATATTTTTGTGTGGGGAATTTTTAAGGTTTTTGCCTCCCCACTGGATGTTATGCTTGGTTTACTTTCTATTCAAGAGTTCCAACTATGTCCAGTACTAATTACCTTTATCAATGAAATTGAGGGGTGACCACTGAAACCACTAAATGCAGCTTTTAAATTTTCAGAAAAATCACCAGAATTTGACGCTGATCAGATTAGGATTTGTAGAACAATCCTAAAATCCACGCCTCTTATAGCCTTTGAAAAATATTCTTTAAAAAATCAATGCCTCTTATTGCCCTTTGAAAAACAGTCCTTAAAAATCCACGTCTCATATCCCTTGAAAAACAGTCCTTAAAAAATCAGTACCTAAAAATCTACGCCTCTGCAGCTCGATACGTCTGACTATGCCGATGACCGAGAATATGTGGTCCAACTCATGATTCATTCGACGACGATATTCAACGTCAACGCAGATCGGCCCATATATTTTTCCGGAGAATTTTTCTCTCAAACATTCCAAGAGCTGTCTCATCAGCTTGCGCAAATACCTATGCTTCTGATCCATACAACAGCACGGGTAGTATCAGCGTCTTGTAGAGTATGAGTTTGATCAGACGAGGGGTGTCCTTGTTTTTAATCCGGTTATCTAGACCATAGTAGCATCTGTTCCGAGAGGTCCTTACCAACTTTAACTGCTGACCTTGTGCCACTCAAAGTTATCCTGCATAGCTGTATTAATTTTGCAGGAATGCCGAACGCAGTCATGGCTTTTATCTGAACGGATAAGGATGTCAAATGTGGCTTTATTGTCGACAAATAGGTGGAATGTGTCGATGTGTTTTTCGTAGGTCAGAGTGAAAATCTGGCCAAATTGGCGCAGAGTGAAAATCTGAAATAGTGTATTTGTTAGATCTGAATCCACATTGATATAGTCAAATAATGTCATAGACCATTGGCTTCAGTCGTTCACAAAGTACGCTGGATAGCACTTTATATGCGATGGGAAGGAGACTTATTCCTCTATAGTTGACACATAACGTTTTGTCTCCTTTTTTGGTCACGGGACACAGCAGGCATTCCTCTAGCCAATGTGTCTAGCCTTCTGAACTCATCTTGGCTAGGTGGTATACAGTCTATATTGGTTCTGCGGAATCTTCTTCACCACCACTATTTGATACCAGAAGCTTTGCAAAATACTCCTTTCAGATCCTCAACACGTAATATTTATCTGGCACCAGGTTTCCTTCTTCATCTCTACAGGAAGCTGTGTCTGCGCCAAATCCTTCGGTTTGGTGTTTTACTCGCTGGTAAAATTTCCGGACTTCATTCTGACTCCTGTACATCTCGATTTGCTCCAGCTCAAAAATGCTCCTTTCAGATCCTCAACATGTAATCTTTATCTGGCACCAGGTTTCCTTCTTCATCTCTACAGGAAGCTGTGTCTGCACCAAATCCTTCGGTTTGGTGTTTTACTCGCTGGTAAAATTTCCGGACTTCATTCTGACTCCTGTACATCTCGATTTGCTCCAGCTCACGTTTTTCTTGTTCTTTCTTCTCTTCTTTTCTCCTCTAACTTTTTCTCACTATAATTCTCTCTCGCATTACGTGTTGCTACTGACTGCAGGGCTGCCCTATACCCTGCGTTTTTCACATCAATAACATTACGACACTCCTGATCGTACCACAGGTTTCTTCATGGTGGTCTCTGGTACCCAAGTGTTCCTTTTGCTGCAGTTTGTAGGGAGTGGGCAATTATTTGTCATTGAGCTTCTATATTATTATCGGGAAAGGAGTGCTTTCGTCAAGCTGGTGGGTAAGATGAACGGAGTAGCCTTCTGCTGCTATCTGCTGTGTTTGCAGCTTTTCGACGTCGAGTTTCCGTGTTACATTATATCGCACCTTTGCCGCTACATTAAGACGGATGCGAATCTTGGCTGCTATACAAGGTAGTGATCCGAATCGATATTCGATCCTCGGATCGATCGAACATTTAAAACACTGGATGAATGCATTCGTCTATCCATTTTTTATAGTTCTTATGGGTGAACTCGCGGCACATATCAGCTCACTATTACAAGGGGTAATGAAAATAGCTACCCCAGGTGACACAGCGGAGAGGTCAGTGTCCACAATTGTGATGAAAGAGGGACCATGATAAGTCACTATATTCTATTATCCCATACATCACACAACAATTCTTATTAGGTTCAAATTGACACCACTAAACAAGGCAAATGTGTCTTGCATGTGAATTAAGGCCTGAAGTATTAAATGTTCTCTTTTAGATTCAACCTATCATTTCCATCCCAGAATTCAAAATATAAACACCAGATAGACTTGGATTTACTATTAAAACAAAAATTTAGTAGCTACAACCACATCGACCTCAAATCATAATCAGAAAAAAATAATTATAAACTTTAATAAAGCCTATCCACACATTCCCTCGTTTGCCTTCTCCATGTAGATCAACATTTTAAAAACCTATAAATCTTGCTTATGACAAACGGCTGCAATGACTCACTTCCATTTTTTATTATTATTTATTTATTTTTTACTTTCAATTATATAATTTTTTTATGTTTTCTTTTTTCATTACAGAAATGACCTTTTGGGTTTGGAGGGCATGGTCAAACTGAAAAATCCCGATGAAGTGATAGTTGTGACACAAATCAATGCCAGTGAATCACATGTTGATCTTAATAATTCCACAGTTTCCCAAGCGGATTCAGAAAAGAGGTAAGTGGATAATATTAAGTATCCTCATCAAATAATGAATATTAATGTGTATATCTTTCTCCACCATAGGGCCAGCACAGCAGCCCATCGTTCCTTACCCGATATTCCGGTGGCTGATGCAAACGGTGATACCGGCTCTGAGCTCTATGAAACTGTGGCGGATAAAATGCTTATGGATGCACAAAATCAAAATAAAAGTCGTAAGTATATCGAATAAGTGTCAAACATTTTGAAATTATAAAGGGTACAAAGGCATTAGGTGAGGTAAAAGGATATGCGACTGTCAAAATATGACAGCAGTCACTTCACTTGGAAACATCTGGTCCAGGGGATTTAATTAAATTTTGATACGTAGTATTAGCATGAGTAACTGGAAAAGACAATAAGTATAAAATAGGGTGGACCGTTAGGTTCGTATTTTTCCATTTTGTAAAACCCAAAGAAGTAATCCATTAGTCCTAGATTGAGGATCGTCTTTTTTTGGCAGACTGAGGAGACTAATAAATAAGCAGGGAGTAAAAAAATAATTCGCTTTGGTTATTTGAGGAATATTTTCCAGTAATAGTAGAAAAAAAATTTTTAAAGATTGATAATCGAATTAATTGGATTGAATCCACGATTAGTCGACGAATAGGTGGAATGTGTAGGTGTGTTCTTCGTGGGTCTTTTTCAGGATCTGACACAGAGTGACCACATGGTCAATGGTGGATTTGCCAGGCTTGGCTTCAGTCGTTCACACAGCACACTGGATAGCACTTTATATGCGATGGGAATGAGACTTATTCCCTTATTCCTCTAAAGTTGGCACATATCATTTTGTCTCCTTTTTGGATGCTGAGGTTCCAATCATTGGGCATGTATACCTCTAGCCAAATTGAACTAATCAGCTGGTGCATGCTCCCTACCAGCATCTGACCACCGGTCTAGAATATTTGGGCTGGTAATCCGGCCTTATTGTTCTTCAGCTGATAGATTGCAATTCTTAACTCATCTTGGCTAGTTGGTATACACTCTATACCGTAATCTTTTATTGGTTCTGGGTTATCATCTTCACCGCCACTATCTGATACCAGATGCTTTGCAAAGTGCTCCTTTCAGATCCTCAACACGCTATCTGTATCTGTCACCAGGTTTCCTTCTTCATCTCTACAGGAGGATGTGCTGTTACATTAAGACGAGTACTAATCTTGGCTCCTACAAGGTAGTGACCCGAAACGATATTCGCTATTAATAATCGAATTAATTGAATTGAATCCACGATTATCCGAATATAAAAGTAGACACAAACTTCTACAGTAACTCAATTTAATTTCTAAATAATCTATAATCCCCTTACATTGAAAATTCCCATTAAGAACAACATAACTAATCTCTTCTTATTTTCTTTTTCAAGCTACACCAAGTTTAAAGAAACAAATCAGTGTTTCCCAGCACAGTTCCATAAGTCAAGCAGATGATGTTAGTTCTCCCTATTCGAGAGTTAAGAATTCACCACATGACTATGCAAAGGTATGTTAATAAACAAATACTATTTTTACTAAACAAAATACAAAACAAATAACACATTGTTACTATTTATTTTGTGTTGTTGTTATAGGTACGTCCCACAGAGCATCCATATGCACAGTTAAATGCACCATCAACATCGCATTTAGCATCATCGGCGGCCTCTACTAATTCCATTGTAGACGGCGCCCAAACACATCAACAACAACAACCACACCATCACAATACATCAGGTACTCAGCTGAATGCTAACAATAACGAACCATCCATCCATCAACAGCGGACATCACATCACAGTGATAATAATAATGCCGAGCATGTTAACGATAATGGTCAACATGAAGCTGAAATACCCGCTGCTTCGGCTATTGCCGGTATGATTTCGGCTAGCCAAGATTTACCGTATATGACTCCGCCAATAGCTAACCAACATTTTAGTGGTGATTCACAGGATTCGTCAAGTAAGATAAGATTAAAAAAAATCGAAACAGCACGTGACTTATTGCTATGAAATTTAAAATGTTCTCTTTTTTATTAGAAGGTTATACCAGTATAAGTGTACGTGAACCATTGGCGAATATCTTGGCACAGCAACCACCGGCCCAAGCGGCTACACGTCCAACTGGACATTCACGGGATGTAAATGATTCACATTATGCTACCGTCTCGGATGATTCAGGTAAGTGTTGAATAATGTAATTTTTACAACAATTGCTCAAAAGATAATATTCTTCACAAAACTCTGCAACATTCCACATACTCTAAATGGGAACTGGGGAACTCGTTCTTTACGAATATACGAACCCTTTTCGTTCGACCCAATATGTCGACGTTATCAGCGTAGGCGAGCAACATGTGCTGTTTGGTGTACACAGTGTCATTTCTGTTAACATTTGCATCTCATATGACCTTTTTCCAGCAGGATGTTAAACTGGTCACACAACAAACTGTCACCTTGTCTGAATCCTCGTTCGGTATTGAAGGGTGTCCGAAAGGTCATTTCCTACTTTAACTGCTGTCCTTGTGTCAGCTAAAGTTATCCTGCGTAGCCGTATTAATTTTGCAGGAATGTCGAACGCAGACATGGCTTTAAACACCTCTGAACAGATAGGGGTATCGAATGCGGCTTTATAGTCAACGAATAGGTAAAATGTGTCGATGTGTTTTTCCTTGATATTTGGCGCAGAGTGAAATTCTGGTCAATGATGGATTTGTCAGGCCTAAAGCCGCATTGGCATAGTCCAATAATATCATTGATCATTGGCTTCAGTCGTTCACACAGCACACTGGATAACACTTTATATGCGATGGAAAGAAGACTAATTCCTCTATAGTTGGCACATATCGTCTTGTCTACTTCTTTGTGCACGTGACACAGGATGCTGAGATTCCAATCATTGGGGATGCATTCCTTAAGACAAATTGTACTAATCAGCTGGTGCATGCTCGTGACCACCAGTCCTGAATAGTTCGGCTGGTAACCCATCGGCTCCTGCTGCTTTATTGTTCTTCAGCCGATTAATTGCTATTCTTACCTCATCTTGGCTAGATGATATATACTCTATACCATCATCTCTTATTGGTTCTGGGGTATCTATTTGATACCAGAAGCTTTTCAAAATGCTCCCTTCAGATCCTCAACACGCAGTCTGTATCTTTCACCAGGTTTCCATCTTGATCTCTACGGGAGGATGTGCCTGCGCCAAAGCCTTCGGTTTGGTGTTTTACTCGTTGGTAAAATTTCCAGACTTCATTCTGACTCCTGTACATCACGATTTGCTTCCGCTCATGTTTTTCTTCTTTCTTTTGAAATTACGTTTCCATCTCTCCTTTTCTCCCGATAATTCTCCATCGCATTAAATGTTGCTACTGTCTGCAGGATTGCCCTATACACTGCGTTTTTCACATCAGTAGCATTACGACACTCCTGATCGTACCATGTGTTTCTTGATGGTGGTCTTTTTTGGTACCCAAGTGTTGCTTTTCAAAAACAATATATTTCCATTGTCCTCTTGGGACCATAGTCCAATACTATTTCCAAAATTTTCAAACAGAATCGACATGTCCTTGCAATACCTTTAAATATTTGTTAACACCCATCACACCACACAACCAATCACACCGCCCTTTTATTTTTCTAACCATAATTAATAAACTTCTAGATGAAACCTATGCAGCTATTGAAGATCCCAACAATCGACCACAAACAAATGTCACAACCGATATTTATACAAGTGGCTCGGAAACATATGCCCAAATTCAACCAATGCAATCCCCAAATTCAATGGTAGTTTCAGTAGAAATAAATAATCCAAATGCAAATACTTCAACTACGACGGTACAGTTACCACCGGTCAGCAGTGGTGGTAGTCATCTGGTGGCCGTAACGGCCCAACAAAGTCTTTCATCGCTTCATTCGTCTTCTCACTCGACAATAGTAGATCATCACAATACATCGTTTAGTTCTCAACATTCGACAACAACAACAAATAGCGCAATGCGTTCAAGTTTAGAATTGATTACGGCAACAAACACCCAACAAACAACTACGGCAACACCAATACCACCGCCAGTGGATAGTTTAAGAGCACAAATGCATTCGAGGCAGGCCTCGGCATCGTCTAACAACAGTACTTCTCTGTGTAATTTAGGTTCACCGAAACCGGAAAAACGTCAAGCCAATTCACCGCTACCGCCCACACCAAAATCGAATATTTCCTCGTCCAACAGCCAGTTACAGGCGTTGAGTTCGAGCAATTTGACATCGGGTCGCAACTCGGTAATATCTGTGATTGAATGTTCCGGCGAACTAATGGAAGAGGGTGTCACCGATGTACCACTTGAAAGTTCACCGCAACGGCGTAATAAAAGTTTAAGTCCTTCCAAGGATATTGAAGGCATGTATGCTAAGGTGGGTGGTCCTTAAAAATATTATTTATTTTTAATAATTAAATATTGTTTTCATTTTTAGGTAATCAAAAAGAACAAATTCTCACGAAATTCCCCATCATCCCAGAACAGTTCACCCATATTGCAAAGAAAATACACTGCCGAAGATAGTGCCTCTGCGGCTTTGGGTGTTAGTCCATTGGATAAATTAGAAAATAATTCATATAGTGTCAATAGTGATCGTCGCATACGCAGCAATAGTTATGGAGCTTCTAAAGATCATGGCTATGAAACAATACCCGCAGATGCAATGCGTGCTGGTGGTGGTAATTCCACGCAAGGTATTATGGAAAATCGTAAATCGGATGGTTATGCTCACATACTGCAGAAAGAGCGTCAACGTGAAAATGGTATGTATTTAAAATAGTTTTTGTATTTCACTCTTTCCCCTTTGTTATTCCAATTATTTCTATATACAACAACAACATGTTCCATGTGTTTCATGTGTCTATAAATTTTTCTTTCTTCCTAAACATTTTTTTGTGTATACAAAACCAAATAAAAAATCGTGCAAATGCTTATATGCTTCTCCTCGCTCCTACGTCCATTGTTCACTACTATACCTCTACATGTTTTTTCTTTCATCTCGCCTTCAATTTATTTTATTATTCAATTTTGTAAACCACATTCAAATTAGTAATACCAAACTGAAATCTTATTCAGAGATTTTTCTTACCTATTTTTTATCAAATTCAACAACACCACCAATTTATAAACAAAACACCTTACCCACCCACAAAAAAATCTTAACGAATTTGTAAAATTGGAACCTGTGGTTAGTATGAATATGAAAAACCTGTTATCCTTAAAAAAACGCTGCATGATTTGTTATAACCGAAATATGTGTTTTTTTTTTTTGTTATGCATTGTATGTGTGATTGTTATGAAATGTAGTTTGAGATAAATTTTTTTACCTTTTTTAATTTTATCCTGTGTTGTGTTCAGTTTTAATTTCACTGAATGCTCCAGAAAAAATCTCAAATATCAAATATTGTTTCTAGATATTAGGGGATAAACTAAAAAATGGGTTTTAATATATCGTCAGCTAAAATGCAAAAAGGCGTAACTAACAAAAAATTGAAAATTCACTTTTTGAATGAATATAGTGAATGTCAATAAACTACATGTGTTGACAAAGTTTTACACGTCTGCGGTCAAAAATGGAGCTTCTATTAACAAAGAACAAAAAGACGTAACTACAAGTGGGTTTATTTGATAAATGCAAAAAGGCGTAACTAACAAAAAATTCACGCTTTTACTTAATTGTTATGACTGCCATTAAACTAAATAACCACATTTGTTAAAAAAATTATAGTCTATTATTCGTCATATGCAATATCACCCTGCCGGGCATACTTTTTCATTTCACATGACATGTTTATAGTTTTCATTCAAAACAGTTTTTTGCTTCTCCTACACAATTATGCTTTTGTTAGTTACGCCTTTTTGCATTTCAGCTAACGATATATATATATATATATATATTTCAGCTAACGAGATATATCTATGTATATAAAAATGGAGCCAAAAAAATGTATACTAACTCATCAATTGAGAACGGCTGGACCGATTTGACTCAAAGTTTCTTTCAGTTGTCGGTAATTACAGTGGGTAGGTTTCTATGAAAGAAAAATTTGAGAAAAATCCGCGAAAATCTTCCAAAAATTATTTTAAAGAAATGGCTGGACCGATTTGATTTAAATTTTCTGTTAGTAGTCTGTAATTGAGGTGGAAAGGTTTTAATGACAGAACATTTTGAGAAAAATCCGCGAAAATATTGCAAAATATATTTTGAAAGATATTATCATTTTCACACATTTTATATCGAACCTTTATGGTTTCATCTCTTCGTAGTTCTTTTTGGGCATAAAATGGGCAGCGTATATCTTAAGTATTTGTCAATTATGGAAGATTCTTAAAATATGTTAATTTTTCTACAATTAATTGGATTATCATTGCCTTGAAAAAAACTATCTATATACATATATAAAATAGGAAAATAAAATTGTTACCGATAGACGCCAAAACCGCTGAACAGATCTTAATGAGATTTACACTGTATGTCGGGCATGCCCTGAAAGTAACATAGGATATATAAACTTTTAAAATTCCGCGTGGATGCGGAGTTATAGCATCAATAGTAAACATACCTCAAAATTTCTGAACATGTAATATGCGTTTATCTTAAGAACGGTTAGAGATACCGTTTTTAAAATTTGCCTGAATAACGAAGGTGTGAATACACATATTTTTTACCTTTGATCTTGATTACTTATGTGTACACTTATTGTAATTGATTACAAGTTGTATAAGCTTCTTTACGTAAAAAGGGTTTTGTTTTCTGACGGAAAAAATAAAAATCCCAAAAAGAGTTTAATTTTCTGACGAAAAAACTAAAAATCCCAAAAAGACTTTTATTTTTGACGGAAAAAATAAAAATCCCAAAAAGACTTTTATTTTTGACGGAAAAAATAAAAATCCCAAACAGACTTTTAGTTTTGACGGAAAAAATAAAAATTTCTCAAAGAGTTTTATGTTTAACGGAAAAAATAACAATCATTTGTAACAGTTAAAAATCGACGTTTATTTTTTCCGTTGAATTATAAGTCTTAACATGGAAACTGAGAGTGTTTTCCCAAGATCACTCAATATCCTTAATGGGCTCCTCAATACGAATCTATGACACTATAGGTGTCCCATGTCTCCAACATGAAGATTTTTTGTTCACATTTTAAAGAACAACTGTTATTTTCGGTCCCTGTTAAAATCCATACTTAGAAAACAGAAAAAATATTTTTTGTGGACTCAAAAACCACTAAACAGATTTTACTTAAATATTCATAGTAAGTGAAGCGATCCCATGGAAGTAACATAGGTTAGATAAAACTGAGGAGTAATAGCTTCAAAAGTACATCTATCTGAAAGAATGTACATATGTAGAACATTTTCTATGGGTATATCTTAAGGTAGCGGCTTGAAAATATGGTTGAGTTACATGGATACAAATACTCATCATCCGATGAGGATATATTTTGAATTACATACATATGTATGTAAAATTGAAGAAAATTGGTTGATATTAAAATTTTCCATTTTTGTCAGTTTGAACAAAATCAAACAAAATGTTAATTGGATTTCAACAAAAAGAAAAAAGCAAGTGAGTAGTGTGCATTTTAATTATAAATCGTTTTATCATCTGGAAAAAGTCAGAGACTAGGATAGGATAAATTCAGGGTTTACCTAATTTTAGTAAATAATTATTTAGTAAATATTGCAGCTGTATATAGGATGCTTACTAATTGATCTTATCTAAATTTTAATTTGATAACATCAGGGGCAGCGAAGCGCCACGGGTCCCGCTAGTATATATATATTTTTGCTAGAGTACACGTTCTTACCTTCTCCCACATGGAGGCGGTCAAAACCGTGTATTTTTTGTCACTCTAGCCAGCCACCTTATCTTTGTAGAGAGAGAGCAGCTGCTGCTTTACCATGATGCAGATTAATGTGCACCACATTTAGCGCTTGCTGCTGTCTGCTTATTTTTTTAATGGCGGGAGACTGAAGTAAAGTTTCCCCATCCCATAAAACAACTCTCCTTGTTCTTCCTCAAATATTGCTCGCCAGCAGAGACGGTAGCGAACTTTGCCACTACACCGCCGTTCCTTTCAAATGAGGCGAGGATTCTCCACCTCCTCATCTGAAGGCCATCGTTCTGATTTTCCACTAACCGTAGTGTGTTCTCCAGTCCCGTAAAAGGTGGGGGGATCCACACAGAGGTTACCATTCCGCTTACCACACTTGGACCGCTACGGCTGCCAGTCTGCTACCTTCCCGAAGAGGCTCCCAGTGGTTAATTGTCTTCTTAAGGAAGTCCACATACTCCTTAGTTCGACAATTAACAAACTTGACCCCTTTGTATAAGGAGATTTGGCCAAACCGTAGGTTCCGTCGATCAACTTCGTCGGATAGGAAGAGGTCCTTCATATAGCTGTCGACTAGCAACGATTTATCTTCGCTGATGATCTCGTCAGGGTCAGCTCGATCCATGATTGCTACTCGCAGATCATCCAGTACCTCTTGTGGAGCAGCAGAGTCGCTAGGCGCCGTTGTAGGTTTCTGGGGTACCTGTTTCGAGACAACGGGTTTGGTTTTCACCACACCCTCACCGTTCTTAGCAGGTTTCACCTTCGACACTGGGCTACCTGTTTTTAGACATCGGGTTTTGGTTTCACCACACCCTCACCACTTTTAGCAGGTTTCTCCTTCGACACTACTACCGACGCAAACGAAGCAGAACTTTGTGCAGCTGTCGACTGCGTGGGTCTCTTGGCAGCAGGTTGTTGTTCCTCCGAGAACCTCATTCTCTTCACAGCTGTGGCCGAGATTCGGTCACAATCGCCGCAGAGATAGGCCCAGCCGACGCAGGCACCTGCTTCGCGCTTGCTACCTTTGACGCATCCACCAACAACTGCCCAATTGTCACAATATTGGATATCGGTTTCGACAATTCGGCAGAGGGTGTATTGCCAGAGGGAGGTTGTGCCTTATCAGCCTTCTTGGAGGCCTTTTTACCATAATCTCTCACTCTATACCATAATTTCTTATTGGTTCTGGGGTATCTTCTTCACCGCCACTATTTGATACCAGAAACTTTTCAAAATCCTCCTTCCTGATCCTCGGCACGCTGCCAGTATCTGTCACCAGGTTTCCTTCTTCATCTGTACAGGAGGATGTGCCCGCACAAAAGCATTCGGTTTGTTGTTTTACTCGTTGGTAAAATTTCCGGACTTCATTCTGACTCCTGTACATCTCGATTTGCTTGTTCTTTCTTCTTTTTTCTGAAAATACGTTTCTCCTCTCTACTTTTCTCCCGATAATTCTCTATTTTGTATAACTATTGGTTTTCAAATCTCACTACGGAAAATTAATAATATTGATCACCGTACACCCATATAACTGTAGTCCCACTATTTGGTACTTTGGAAATTTAAATCATCATTTTCTCGTTTTTACTTTTTCCTATTTTAATCCGTCCTTTTGAAAATTGATTGACTTATTTTGAAACTGTTTTTGTGTTTTATGTTATAGAAATTTTCTGTTCAAATAATCCATTTGAAAAAATATTTCTATTAAATATATATTTTTATACCTTGTATATATTTAAAAAAATTAGTCCAGTTTTTTATTTTCTATTAACCATCTTCAATTTATTCACATTTATTTTTATTTTAACCTCTATCCTCAATATGTTACAGTTCATAACTCATCTGTACCGCCACCACCGATAAATGTCTACAGTGTACAATTAAGTAATAGTGATAAACATTATGAAACTATAGCACCACCACAACCATCGTCAATGGCCGTCAATGCCGCCAGCAGTAGCAGCAGTTCAGGAAATGATCCCGGTTATGAGACTTTAGAAAAACCAAAAAATCCACATCATCCACCAAGGCTGCAAGATGATTGTGAAAAGAAATCCTCAGATTATGATCCAAACTATGAGGTATTAAAAGGGCCGACAAATTCCGCCGGAGCCTCGGATGATGGTTATGCCAAAGTATTGGAAAAGAAAAACATACTGGTCGACGGTGAAGATTCCCTTGATGGCTACAGTAATGTGAGGGGTGAGACGGAAACGGCAGCCGGTTATAGTACCATCGCTGATGTTAAACGCACCGATGCCAATCATAATTACGCAAGTATTTTGGAGACAAAACGTGAAGCAATTGCTGGTGGTGGTGGAGACCAATTAGAGACTGATAGCGATCATTATGCACGCATTGCTGAACGGAATAGTGCAGCAGCACGTACCCCACCAAATCTACCGCTGAGCTCATCACAAAAATCAATGGTAGACGATGAATTGTTAACACCACGCACCACCACTGAACTATCCATTACATCACCAACGTCCATTACCAGTAGTTCTATGCTTAATACCACCAGCTCGATCAATTCCACTTCCACAAATTTAACAACCACTAGCACAATTAGTTCACGACAAACACCTACCTCATCTTCTCAATATGAATCCCTTACAGGCAGTGAAACAGATCCCAACTATGAATCCGTCTGCTATTTGAATGCATCAGGAGGTCAGGAGGAGAATCCGTATGAGCGTTTGCATACGGAAATATCGGATGATATAACGCAGCTAAGTAGTCCAGAGGCATCAAGTGGCCATACCAACACCACCAGCACCCACACAACAACAAAAAGTGACAACAGCAGTAGTAGCAGTTCGGCAGCTATGGTAGAACAGCAGCAGCAACATTCCAAAATGTTAAAGGCAAATGGTTCAAAAATCAATGTAACAACCAATCAACCAGATCCTACTACAACAGCAAATGATATTTTGGTTGATGACTATTTTCAAGTATAGAAAAAATGTAAGAACAACAACAACAAAAACCACAAAAAAGAAATTAAAGAGTGATTCCATCATTAATGATGATGGATTTTTACAAGTAAATATAATAATAAGCCACATACCACAACCCCATCCACTCACTCGAAACCATAATAAATGGCGTGAGGTGACGAGGTGTGTTGAGTTGAATTGAGGTGTGATGGTAATTAACTAAGTGTTATTATATTAGAAACAAACCAACTATTACTATATATATTTTAAGGCTATATATTGTCTTTCTCTTTTGCTTAGCAATTATTAAGTATTGGCACGAACATATCATTTCCATGATGATGATCTTTTGTTGTATTGATTTTTGTTTTCTGTTTCTGTTTTGTGAATGAATCTGTTTTTTTTTACTTTAATTTAATTTATTTAACTTTATTCAAAAAACAAAACAAATATGCTTTGAAAAAGTATATCATTTACGATTATTTTGTTTTTAGTGTATTCAAAATATATATAATATGTATATGTCATTTTAGCTTATGTATCTATATAAATATATATTTATATAATATACTATATTAGTTAGTAAACATTTGATATACATATATATTCTAAATTATCACTCTGTTCTGGTAAGAATAATTTACCCTGCTGCAGCAGTCTACTATAGTGGAATGTGGTAACTCCTTTATAAGCAAATTTAAATTTATCTTTTTTTACAATTATCAAAAACTTCTTGTATGAGTTATATCAAAATCTGATAGCTCTCTCCAAAGACATTCAAAAAATTACCAAAACAAAAAACCAATAATTCCGTGGAATTTTTTCCAAATCAGTAAAGAGGCATTTAGGTCCCAGAAAGGAAGTGTTTGTCATTCAGCAGTTCAGGAAATTATCCCGGTTATGAGTCTTTAGAAAAAAAATTCACATTATTAAAAAATGTTGCAGGATGATTGAGAAAATAAATCCACAGATCATGATCCAAACTATGAGGTTACAAAAGGATCGACAAATTCCGGCGGCGCCTCGGGTGATGGTTATGCCAAAGTATTGGAAGTATTTCCGTTTCGCCCCTTACCTTACTATAACCATCAAGGGAATCTTCACCGTCTAGACAGTAAATATTCCCAAGATTTTTCCATTTCTCACCTCACCGGTTATAGTACCATCGCTGATGTTAAACACACCAATGTCAATCACAATTACGCAAGTTTTTGTACACAAAACCATTAAAGAGGTATTTAAGTCACAGGAAAAAAGTATTCTTCACTCCGTTTCCAATAACTCAAAATTGGAGAATCCGGAGAATTGTTTTTTCTATAGGAAAAAAATCGTCAGGAAATTGTGGACAAAATCTCATAGCTCTCTCCAAAGACATTAAAAAAAATTACCAAAACAAAAAAATCAATAACTCCGGGAATTTTTTGCAAAACAGTAAAGAGACTTTTATTTAGGTGCCAGGAAGGAAGTGTTTGTCAGGAAATGATCCCGGTTATGAGTCTTTAGAAAAACCAAAAAAAAAATCCAAATCATCAACATATGTTGCAGGATGATTGTGAAAAGAAATCTCCCAAAGTATTGGAAAAGAAAAAATCCCTTGATGGTTATAGTAAGGGGATGGGGGAGACGGAAACCTGTTATATTAGTACTATAGCTGATGTTAATTACGCAAGTATTTTGGGAAACAAAACCTGAAGCAATAAATCCGGGGAATGTTTTTCCCAAACAGAAAAAAATCTTTTAAGGACCAGAAATAATGTGTTTGTCATTCCATTTGCAATAAGTCAAAAAAATACTCGCTGGAGAATCCGATATTCGGCTCTAACATCGTTTTTACTTGTTGGTATATTTAAGATTTTTTATCACCATTTACAAACGGATTGGATGTAATTTAGCACACCGGTTAAGTGGGGGTTGAAAAATCTATTTGTACAGTACAAATGTTTGATACCCATATAAGGATCCTGCAGTATTTTATTTTTTTTATGGTCCTAGGTTAATTCTTCAAACAAAAAGGTTGTTTTCAGTCCAGGTCTCAGGTGGTAGGTAAAAAATATCTTCTCCGAAAATGTTCAATATAATTCACATATAAGAATCCCGATTTATTTCGGACATGCCTAAAGTCGTAGGTGCATTTTCCCATATTGAAGTGGCTGTAATTTTATCCATCCGGTTTCCTCGTGATTAAAAAAACATATTCATCGAAAATTTTCAATATAGACCCATCCATATAAAGACCCATCCATGAATAGTCCAGGAATCCCTGAGGACTATTCAGGAATCTGAAGATTATTTTTCTATCGCCAGTTTCCGGGACTATTTAGGAACCTGAAAAGAAAAGTTTATTTCATATAAAATATTCGTCAGCTTCTGAGGAATACTTCTCAAAAAGTTTTTTTTTCCTGAACTCCAATTTTTACTCTATACATTTCCTTCAATACCTTTTCCTTTGGTTGACTGCTTGTTAAATTCACAGTTACCTACGAATTTGAAACACACAGAACAGAGTGTTTTATTTTTTGTATAAAATAATTAATTAATTCCTAATCGGTTAGATTTTTCAACGAATTTTCGTTTGATTGTTTTTTTGTTTCATTGATGATATACAAATATTTTTATATGCATTTTATTTTTTATACATTTTACAAACAAACAAAATACCAGAGCACAATTCAACGCACTCATTCAATGCACGTTGGCCTAGAAATAAATTAAAGAAATGAACAACATATAAATATAGATTTAAAAACTTTTGTAATTTTTTTATTATAACCTTTTAAAAAATTAATATTAGTATTGTATTGTAACAGATGATAAGCCAATTATGTAGCATATATCTATTTATCAACATAAATGTTTAAAAAACACACAAACATACATAAATAATTCATATGTATTTTTTTAATAATTATGTTTTTATTTATTTATAAAAAACGAGAAGAACGAAAAAACAAAACAAAGAAGAGAGAAGATGCAACAAAACTGTATTAAGAAATATAAAGGCCTTTTATATTATGCCTACTATACAAAAAAAAAACATTAAGAATTGTAGTTTTCTCTATAGCGCAAATTTATTAAAAGGTAAGCAAGCCAGTGACACGACTTCTTAACAAATTAAAAAAAATAAAAACTACAAATTAATTGAGGTAGGTAAGTAACCAATATACGCAGCGAATCTACTTCAAACGATTTACAGACAATAAATTTCCTTATCACTTTCTTTTTTTTTTTGCGGTATTATTCTAAAAACCCTTTGTTTATTATTAAAGTGTGCAAGCAAATATCAAAACACAAAAGCAAAAAACAACATCAGATAAATTTATAAATAAAATAGGTGATAGGTGTATTATTGTATTGAACTCTTTTAAGATATTCACCCTTATCAAGGTGAAGAAAATATTTGTTTTTGTTATTCAATATTCTTTGGAAATCTATTCTAATAATAATAATTTTTTTTTAATTTTTAAAATTCGTCAGGAACCTGAGAACAATTTTTTTTCTATAGGAAAAAAATAAGTCAGGAACCTGAGGACTATTTTTTTCTATAGAAAAACTTCCTCATGATCACCTGAGGACTATTTTTTTTCTATAGAAAAAAATTCCTTAGTATCACCTGAGGACTATTTTTTTCTATAGGAAAAAATTCCTCAGGAACCCCTGCGGACTATTTTTTTCTATAGAAAAAATTCATCAGGAACGCCTGAGGACTATTTTTACCATAGAAAAAAAAATTGTCAAGATCCCATGAGGACTATTTTTTTCTATAGAAAAAAAAAATCATCAGGTTCCCTTGAGGACTATTCTTTCTATAGAAAAAAATTCGTCAACAACCCCAGAGGACTATTTTTTCCTATAGAAAAAATTCATCCGGAGCCCCTGAGGACTAGTTTTTTGTTCTATAAAAAATCGCCAGGAACCTAAGAACTATTTTTTTCTATAGAAAAAATCCTTTCTATAAAAAAAACAGTAAAGAAAATAGTAAAGTCGGACTGAGCCGACTATATGATACCCTTCACCACTTCGGGTATATTCTACATACGTATTCTAATAGACGTCGCTTTTTCGAAGGAACATTGACATGAAATTGAACGAACTTAAATATTCGATCTTTATCTACAAATAAATCGACTAACATCCATCCCAACACATGTCATTCTGCAACCTATTCTAAATTTTGTAAACAGATTTAAAGCAGATTTTACACCCGATATTTGGTATGCTTCACTGTTTAAAATGTAATATCAGACCATTGATTAGTTGATGCACAATCAACGTGAATAGGTCGAAGTTATATATGGAAGCAATGCTATATCTAAATCTGAACCGATTTCAAGGAAACATGCCAGAGGTTAATTTAAATTAATTGCAGTACGTTGTGTCAATCGGCCTAGCGATAGGCTTTAGTGCTTAAAATCGGACGAAAGTATATATAGGAGCTATATCTAAATCTGAACCGATTTTCACGAAACTTTGCACACATCATTCAGGACCTAATACAGTACCCTATGCCAAATTTCGTACAAATCGAAAGATATATATTCACCCCTATTCTGTATGTCGTCGTCGACACGAAACGACGTCGAAGAGAGTCGTCTTTTGCAAATTGGTATTCCCTATGTCGTTGTCGACATTTATCGATAACTATTGAAACATTTTTGGTATTCCGTAACAATGTGTGACGACGACGATGTCGAAGATTTCTTCGTGATAGTTTTTGTTGACGACTGAAGCGTTTGAACATTTTTTTTTTTTTTTTAAATTAAAAAAAACATGACCGGACAAGAACAGGATATATCATTCTAGAATCTATTCAATACTTAATGGAAAATAAAGTGTAAATAAAGAAAAATATATGGGATCATATATAAATCTAAACCGATTTTTACCAATGTCTATGTGGAAATAAAATTTCATCCAAATTGGATGGATTTTTTTTCCAAATTTCATCCCGTTCGGATCATAATGGTGGCATGTAACTTGTTTAAAATAATACATGAATGGAGGGACATGCATAAATCGACTAAAAAGTAACTATGGGTCTATCTCGTTTCTTTTTGGTCGTTGCAAACACATTTACCAAGACATAATGCCCTGTGCCACAGTGCGGTGAAGGATACAAACACATTTTTGCCCAAAAATATGCAACAAAATTTTTGTTTTTATTGATATTATCGATAAATAGTCGACATCGTCGCATGAGTGTTACAGAATACCAAATCAGTGTCGAAGTGATGTCGATGCGAAGTGATGTCGAAAGAGAAACGTCGTCGACAACGACGACGACATACGGAATAGGGGTGATTGACTTTGGTACACCATTTACCTTAAATCGGACGAAGATATATATGGGAGCTATATCTAAATCTCAACCGATTTTCACAAAACTTAGCATCCATCATTATAGACCTAATACAGTACCCTATGCCAAATCTCGTGCAAATCGAAAGATATATAGGGACTTTGGTGCACCATTTACATTAAATCGGACGAAAAAATACATGGGAGCTATGTCTACATCTGAACCAATTTTCAACTTAACACACACCATTGTAGACCTAATTCATTACGCTGTGCCAAATTTCGTGCAAATCGAAAGATAGATAGAGACTTTGGTGCACCATTTACATGAAATCGGATGAAAATATATATGGGAGCTATATCTAAATCTGAACCGATTTTCATGAAACTTAACACACACCATTGTAGACCTAATTCATTACGCTGTGCCAAATTTTGTGCAAATCGAAAGAAATACAGCGACTTTGGTGCACCATTTACCTAAATTCGAACAAAAATATATATGGGAGCTATATCTAAATCTGAACCGATTTCTCCCAATTTCAATAGGTTCGTCCTTGGGCCAAATAAGTGGCCTATGCCAAATTTTATCCAATTCGGATCATAAATGCGACCTGTAAATTGTTTACAATTTAACATGGACAGACGGATGGACGGACGGACATGCATAAATCGACTTAAAAAGTCATTCTATGCATATTCTCAAAAGGAACCATGTGTATATCTCGTTTCATTTTGCCTGTTACAAACATATGCACAAAGACAGAATAACCTGTACCACAGTGTGGTTAAGGGTATATATAGTCAGGAACTTGAGGACTATTTTTTTAGTTTCTTAAAAAATTCTGTGGCCTCGTATCACTTTTCCATAGCAAACAATTTCTTCAAAACTATCAGAATTCCTAACCCCTTGAAATAAAAATTTATAAATTATATGTGTGGTATGTATATTTTTTTATTAACTATTTAATTTTTTTATTACTATAGTAATGAGACAAAAGAAAACATTATGTAAATAATATCAAACAAATCATCAATAGTAATAATATTTTTCGAATAAAATTGAATTATACTCAGACTGTACTAAACTAAAATCAAACAAAGACAATTTTTATCTCACATACAAACGATTTTTTATACTGCAGCTGTATACATAATGCATGTATAATATTTATATATAGAAGTAGGATGGTTTATTGTGGATTTTCTGTTTCTGCGCAAAAAAATAATATCTGAATAGATAAAATATAAAAAGAATGGAGAATCAAATCAAAATTTCAAAAAAAAAAATAATATTTATAACTAGTAGTCTAATTAATTATTATTTCGTTAAGTATATTAGTGATAATGCATTTAACCTTTTCAAGGTTTTATTTATCTCTTTCAGTATATTTTTGTTTTTGAATATCTAAATGTAGGTGTGGTTGTTGGTGGTTTAAGAGGGAAGATGATAATGGTGATTTTTTTGTTTTGTTATGTTTCTTGTTTATGCCTGCCATCAGGCAGCTATTAGAACGCACAACATCATAATCGATAAATAAAATAAAGTACAAAATACAATACGCAAACATTTACAGCAAATTTGTATGTCATTCAAAGTTAGATGCAGCACTGCAAATGTTGTATAAATACGCCCGACCAACGCCGCCTCTGGAAACGTTGCTACCGTATTTCATTCACTGACATTGCCGCCACGCAATTGCCCCGACGAACATCCCGGCTGTTGATGCTGCTGCGGAACATGTTGCACTGACGATAATGTCGACGATGTAGATGCTCCCGCATTTGCTGTCGATGCTGATCCCGCCGGTTGTTGCTGCTGTAGCGACTGATTGAGTAGGGCCAAATTACTGGCTTTCATACGTGCTATAGTGTTGTTGTGTGCCATGCCTGCCAGAGCTGAGAGACATGGTGACATACAAGGCGTTGAGCAGAGGCTATTACTGATCTCACATTGGTCAAGTAGGCGGAGTAGCTCGTTGGTGTCGGGTCCGCCATTGATTTTCTGCTTCTGGTGGTGGTTTTCGTCCTTTTTGAAAAACAACGCCAGCGCCGTTGTGAGATCCCACATTTGTATGTTGCCATTACAGTGGCCGGTCAGTATGAAACGTGAACCCATGCGTGACGATACTTCACATTCGTGTACGCAGAACGATGTAATCGATGAACCATCAACCGATTTAATAACACAAACACGATCACCGTTCGAAGCCAAACGAACGTATAATTGATCGGTTTCCGGTACAACTTTCTGTACAAAAATCTGTTCATCATAATCGCCATAGGGTCCGAAGTCGTTACCCGCCACATAGCTATAATTGGTTTCCGTTGCATCGAGTGATACAATTTTAAATGATGCCTCCGGGGTAGAACCCGGCTGGGTCGATAACATACCACGAAATCGTGTTAGGCTCCATGTTCGAACATGATGATATTCACTACACACAGAAACTAAATACTTTTCGGAGAGCATAACTTTTGTCACTGGACTCTGATGGACCGTGAAGGTTTCGAATAAATGAGGACCATGTCCAGCCGTTTCGGGATGTTGTACAATTATGCGAACTGCACCACTTTTAGTACCATAGGCAATTTCAATCCAATTACCACTGATGCCTAAAATAAATGAAAAAATGTTCATGAGGTCTAGGTGTTGAAAAATGTTCAATGATCGGAAATCTAAGGACTAGTTTCTATAAAAAAAAAATCGCAAGATCCTAAGGACTACCTTTTTCAATAGGAAAAATCTTCAGTATCTGAGAAACATATATATAAAAAAAAAAACATTCGTCAGGAACCTGGGCATTACTTTTTTCTTTAAAAACTACTCATGACAATTTTTTTCTATAGAAAGAAATTCTTAGGGCTCCTTTTTTCTATGGAAAAAACTTTTTCAGGACCTGAGAACTATTTTTTTTATAGAAAAAATTCGTCAGGAACCTTTGGACAATTTTTTTTTATAAAAAAAATCCTCAGAAGCTGAGGACAATTTTATATAAAAAAATCCTCAGAAGCTGAGGAATACTTTTTTTATAAAAAAAAATCCTGACGCCCTGAGGACTACTTTTTTCTATAGAAAAAAAAATTCTCAGAAATACTTTTTTCTGTAGAAAACAAATGTCAGAGCCTGAGGACTGGGTTTTTCTACAGTAAAATATATCGTCAGAAGCTTGTAGACTACTTTTTTACCACCCAGGATCCGAAAATGAATCTTTGTAATAAAAAAAAATGACCTGAATATTTAGTGGCAAAAATACTCACTTGATGTCTTCGGTGTTAAATATACTGATATGGCTGTGATTGGATCCAAATTTGGATCTTTATACAATTCCGTTACCAACAGATCATTATCTTTCATGCGCAAGGGGAACTTTTGCATATCTGCAATAAACGAAAATATTATTTAATACCATTCGGAACCATCCGAAACAAAGAAACAACTATCAAACTCACCTATATAATAAATCGAACCATTATTGCAACCCAACAAAAGAAAAGACCCCGCAGAATCGAATGACAAAACCGGTACTAAATCCTGAATTTGCCAATGCTGTGTCATGGCATGCCAGACACCAATCTTGCCAGAAGATGATGAAGACAATGCTACCAACTGACTGCCAATGAAAAATAAATGTTCTACGCGTACATTTAAATTAAATGTTCCAATATCCGTTTTGTCACCACCCTCTTGGATACTCCACAAACGTATTTGACTGCCATACGAAATGGCTATCATTTTACTGGGAATTGCCTCACCGGTGGACATATTAACTTTGGAATTTATGGCAATTCGCTCAATGGTCGAATCAATATACGGTGAGGTGAAAACCAATTGCCAACCATTCGAATCTTTGACCCGATAACAGGCCACAAAATGAGCATAGGCTACGGCAAACCAATTTTGATGGGCCTTAATAATTTGCACTCGAAGTGGATCGACCCAATTCGATGTGAGTGTTGGTGAAAATACCAAACCAACATCGTTGCGTATGAGTTTATTCAAATCAGCCGAAGAGTTTCGAGAATGACGCATAAAGTCGAGAGAAGGATTTCGAGAGTGTTCACCACGTGTTGTCGATGGCCAACAACGATTGTCGGGGGCAGCTGAATTGCCGCGACCCACACGCAAATCCCATGATGAATTACGAGAATGAGAAGAATGACGATTCGAGACAACGTTAGAGGGTTCTGGTACACGTACCATGGAACCAGGTCTAGCATTACCACTTGTCGATGATGATGCTGCAGCAGCAGAGGTTGATGGCAAGCATGGTTCTAGGGGTACGGGTGGTGGAGGTGCTGCTGCGGCTGCTGTAGTTGCTGCACTAATTCGAGAAGAATTTGAATTATCGTGGCCTGTGCCAGCTGTTGCTGCTGCTGGTGGTGGTGGTGCAACATTCTGCTGTTGCTGCGGATTAATAATTATATTATCATTTGGTGGTATTGGTGGTGCTGGCAAGAATCCATAAAACAATACATCTCCACACGACGAATGATTTAAATCTTCACACAAAGCCAAACGTTTAACCAACGGTGTCAAACCATAGTATTCCGTTTCATGACGCAGTGCTCGAATTTCACAATTCTTAACATCGATCTCCTTGGTACGTAAATAATTTAAAATGATCGAAAAGAGCGCTGGATCGCGATCAATGAATATTGCACCAGTTTCATCTTTTAAACTTGAAATTCGACCACTTAAGAGTGCCGTAAAAAATGTATCCGGTATCCATGTTAATGTTTGACGCGAAGTTGAAAATCTGCAAAAAAAGGAATTAAATTTATATTTGGATTTTTTACACCAGCTGAAGGGATTATGTTCTGAGAAAAATACCGACACTTACGCTTGGAAAGCTGGTATAAAAACTTCAATATACAGGAAACCAATTGAGACCTTTATGTGGGAACTAGAACTCTTAAATTTGAAATGAGGGTCACTGATGAAGTGTAGAATAGATGTAACAAAGGGTTTTTCGAACATTTGAACTATAAGTATCCAAAAGTACTAAAATGTACTACATTTGATACAATTTCCAAGCATGTGAATGGATAGAGCTAAAAACATGAAATTTGGAATGCGAATTAAGGTCGTATAGACCCTACGATATGGGTGACGTAGGGGATGATAGATACCAAGCAACGGCTCTGATTGGCTTTAACATGGCAAATCTTGCTCCCTCTTTCATCTCAATTGTGGACACTGGCCGCATGATTGTATCACCGAAGCACCGAATCCTGGAAAAGACCCACGAAACACACATCGACACATTTCACCCATTCGACAACTATAAAGCCGCATCCGTTCAGATGTGTTTAAAGCCCTGTCTGCGTTTGGCATTCGTGCAAAATTAGTAATCGTGTGACCTTTTTCAGCATCCTGCTGGAAAAGGTCATACGAGAGGCAAAGATGAACAGAAATGACGTCTACACCAATAACATCGACATCATAATGGGTCGTACATTGCGAGCGGTAACAGCCACCTTTGAACGAATTGAGAAGGAGTCTGCCAAAGTGGTACTGACAGTAAATGGCAAGAATACCAATGTATCAACGCCCAAGACATCCAGTAGACTTGGGCCAACTGTGGAACTTAAGAACTACAGCTTCGAGGTAGTGAATGATTTTATATACATCGGTACTGCCATAAGCAAAAATAAATAACATCAGCTTTGAAATCCGGAAAAGAGGCAGGTCTTGAAGTGTGTGAGAGAAAAATGCTCCGAAAGATCTACTGGCCGATCTGCGTCGAAGATGAATATCGGCGTCGAATGGACCACTAGATTTACAACTATACACGGACATCGACAAAAGACCACCCAAGAATGGTTACAAAATGAGGTTCCTCATTTTCTTCATTTCCAGCGCATAATGGCCACCAAAATCTCCGTATACAAATCCGTTGGACTATTGTGTCTGGAGTATTTTAGAAAGCAAGGTTGGCACTAAAAATGGGCCAAAATACCGCAGAGAAACATTCGGGCAGCGTGTGACGGTTTCATTGCCCGTTTGAACAAATTGCGTTCCAAAGGCAAGCGCAATTCGAATAAATCTAAACTTTTTCTAAAAATGCATTTTCACTGTTAATGCATTTTTACTATGTTGTTTTCCAATAATTTTTAGTATTTTTTCTTTAGAGACAGACCTTCACACAAAACACGACTTAAATATTCCTTATTGCCTTCATACATTCCGTGGCAATATTTGGTTGAGCATGCATCGTTATTAATAGGATTTCCAATGGAATTTTATTTGTTTTCGAGTTAAAAATTTTGCATACAAAATTTTTATTTGTTTTCGAGTTAAAAATTTTGCCTACAACCAATTATAATATTCAAACTCATCATAGAATAAATATTGTGTAGATACTTTTCATAAAAAAAAATATTTAATACTTATATTTTTGTAGTCAGATCCCTTAAAATTTATTAGCGGAAAATTTCGCAAAAAATTTCATCACATTCTCCCACTCCCTGCAGTCCAGAATTACTAATTTGTCCCCCTAATATCCAGTAGTGTTGGCGGGTTATTTCGGATAGCATTTGTATTTTGTTTTTGCAAAATAATCAGGCTAAATCTCAGTTTGTTGTTTTTATAAAAACAACTATTTTTTTGGTGGGGAAAGTATGGCATTGTCCACCAAGGGATAAGACAGGGAATATTCAAAACAAAGTAGCATTTAAATAATATCAAGCAAAAATATTTTAGATCAAGAATAGAGTTTCAATGGGATATTTGCAGGTGTTGTCAATTTTAACCATTCGATATATAACAACAACAATATTATAATTAATGTTATTATTTATGTTAGGAATAGGAAAAATAGATACGAGTCATTTTCAAAATATTTGTTTTATATATTGATATTGATAAGAAAAAAACTATGTCTATCTACGAGACAAATGTGTAAAACTATAATATTAAAAAAATTTCCATCCAACACCATCATGTTCCAGAAGAAAATTCTTTTCATTTTTTTTCTTATGTAGTAACTATAATTTGTATATTGTTATAGTTAATGCTTACATTGCATACTTTGTTGTATATTTGGAAAATAAAATAAATACATAAGAACAAATTCATTATGATATCCAAAACCAATGGCTTCTGGACGACGACTATTCTTAAAGAAATGTGATATCTATTTAAAAAAAATGAAGAATATACACAACAACAACACGCCACGCATCAACAATAACAACTCATCATCATCAGCAGTAAAACAAAACAACAAGAAGCTCAACAACAATCAAAGCAGAATTTGTTTGTTGAACAACATAGAACTTGATTATAACCTGATATCATTTTTAGCGGAAATATGAGTTCTATATTCAATAATTTGTTATTCTTTGCAAAAACTATTCATGTATGACTGTGGCGTTATTCATTTTGCATTCAATCATATTAATGTTTTGAAATAAATATATGTACATGGTGTTCATTCATCCAATTGTTGCCTTCAATGGTGCCGCTGCCGCTAACCCATTAAACTGTTACTGCTTGTGGGGGCATCCGCGGTAAAAAAAAAAACAATAACACATATTGCGTAGATAAGCCACACAGAAAGACACAACAATGATTGTTGTGACCCCAAAAATAACTATGGAAAACAAATCACTCGATGGGTATATATGCTGGAATGTTACTTTCAGCACAACAAACAGCAACACGGTGGGTTGGGGTATACACAAACATTACTAACATTACTTCACACATAAACTCGGGGCCAGATGACAACAAATTTACATCACCCCAAATTGTATTTTCTATGTTTTTTGTGATCAATTTGATCTGTAATTATGAAAAAAAAAAACAAAACTTACCTCTGACCCCCTACATTTAGATTCACTAAATCACCACTATGAGCAAAGTAGGACATGTCTTGCACAATTCCTACAACGACCCACTAATATTTGTTGGCTTCTTAGTGAGGTGCCCCACTTAGTGGTGATTGAGCTGCTGCTGCCGCTGCTGTCTTCTTCCGCGATTCTTTCAATGATCCGTGTTTTGTTGTTATTGCTGTTGTTGTGTGGACGTGTACACCAATTGTTTCTTAAACAAATGCCAATATACAAATGAGAGACGACGATTGTATTAAACAAATTTTATGACGATGAACCATAAAGTTCAAATGTACTATTCACTGATATGAATGACGGGAACTATTTGCAAATGATACGAATAGAGAATAGCCCAAGGTATATTTAATAAGGTAGCCGCATCTGTTGGTGCAATAAATGTTGTTGTAATGTTGAACCAAAAAATTAAAAAACTAAATTATAAATGAAAATCTCCGAATTTCGAAGAGGTTGTTTGGCAATACTTTTATTAACATTTTCTACAAGAATTTGTGTAAAAAAATCTTGTCAATCTGTTTGTTTTGGCAAAATATTTTTGATATATCAAAACACAACAACCGATGTTTGTTGTAGAAATTCGCTGATGCGGCAACCTTGGAATAGCCGTTGATGAAGGTGTGAATATCAGAAAAACAGCTGATGATACAAGAGCTGTGTTCCGGCAAGTACAAGGTCCTAAAACTTGTATGTTTTTAAAGTTTCTTTACAGACAGATGCTAACACCGGCTAACTTCCGCGGACGAGCCTTAAATTAGACTTAAGTCATTCTCTGTTTTTTGGGCGATGAAAAGGATTATTCGCTGCCAATTGTCAATGCTTTGGCATTGTCCATATAAAAATGACTAAGCCTAAGCTCTACCTCTTGCCCGCTTGAGGGTGCTAGACGATTTTTTAATCCAATCAGGGGATAAAAATGATTTGATACCGTTTATAATGTAGGTAGACGATATACCCCTAACCTAAGAATTTCGACCGATTTTGGGTATTTTGAATACCCATCTCATGTTATAAGGCATATAGGTACGACCCTAGATCTGTCAAAGGAGTATAAATTTCAGAAGAACTCAGATTGGGAACAATTCGATTGTGGGGAGAAAACTACACGATTCTCTAATTTTTCGCGTTTTTCCATAAAATTTTAATATTTTTGCAAAAATTTTTTTAAATAAAACAGTCAGTGTTTATAACTAATTTTTTATTATTAATCATTCATCTAAACCACCAGCATATTTTTCCAACAATTCTTGTTTACGTTTTCTCAACAACGCTTCTTCGACATCTTTTTGTGTTGGTACCGGAACATGTGCAGTAAACTTGGGTGCCAGCAATTCCATTGGATTTCCCTCTTCAGATTTTTTAGCATCTTCAGCGGCTTCTCTTGCTGGTATTGATAGCGGATAAATATCATCATCACCCTCTTCATCGTCGTCTAAATCAATATGACCATCTCGAGCCATTTTCTCTTTCCATTCTCGTACCGCCGTCTGAACAGCCAATTGTTCAATACGTTCCTCCAATGGTATCAGAATGCCATCGTCGTCATCACGATACCCATAATATTCGGCATCGACATCTTTCATTAATTCCGCCCGAGTTTTACGCGGTGGTGGTGGAGGTTCTTGTTCAAAAAGTTCTCGTACTCCGGGCAAATCTTTGGCAGCACCGAAATATTTATAGCCACGATTTCCCGGTACTTCACGGCCCTCGGCATCGAACATTTTCGGTCCATATCGTCGATAGTGTGGTCCACCCAAGGCTGATATTTGATTTTCCCAATGACGTTTTTCCCTCAGCAATTTGTTAATTTCGTCGTTCAAATCGCGTATACGGAATTCACCAAGACCGGCTGTAAAGAAATTAAGAAAAGGTTTTATATTTATTGGAAACAATATATGACGTTGTGTGTCCCTTACCATTTTGTATTTGGGCCACCTTATTTGAAATTTCTCTAATAATTTCTAAACGATATTTTTCACATTTTGGCAAATCTTGGCATTCCGATGCCAAATAAGGGCGCCTATCCTTTTCGCCCGATTCAATTTCTTTAGCGGCACGCCACCGTGCCAGCGTGGTCCTACATTGTAAATATTTTCGTATTAAAAAAATGAACTCTCTTGTATAAGATAACGTTTAACTTACATAGCCTTTTCCGCATTACGAGCCTAAGGAGAGAGAAAAGTATTAACATTTAGTTTGTAATAATTTAATAAATAAATATTATAAATAATATAAATTTACCATATTTCACTGTTGCAAAGAGTGGGAAAAAAAGAAAACAAACGTTTGTTTATGTTTGGAACCCCACCGTCGGTCATAAGTTTTCCATCGCCGTCATAGCGGGGTGTTGCCAGGGCCGAATTCACAAAATAACAGGGCGAAAAATAATTATTTATTTGACTAAGGCGAATTGAAAGGAAAAAGTATAATCGGAATCAGTACTTCCGTTATTTGTATCATGGTCCTATAATAGCTGTGTCTACTCAATATTTGAAAATAATTGTTCCCAAATGTTACTGAATGTTGTCTGTTTACTCCAAAGTCCAGTAAAGAGCGAGCGGAAAGAGAGAGATACGCTGAGAACTTGCTGAATTTTACTGGCTAAATTTCTTCCAGTAAGATTTATCAAAGTCAAGAAACATTTTTTATTCGCACGAAAATATATATAGGAGCTATATATTAATCTGAATCGATTTTTAACGAAACTTAACACATATCATTCTAGACTTAATTCAATATAATTTATAATTCTCGAAACTTAGAACACATCAATCTAGGCTTAATTCAATACGCTATGCCAAATTTCGTGCAAATCAAAAGATATATAGGTACTTCGGTGCACCATTTATATATGGAAGCTATATATAAATCTGAACCGATTTTTACGAAACTTAAGACACATAATTCTAGACTGAATTCAGTACGCTATGCCGAATTTCGTACCAATCGAAAGATGTATAAGATCTTTAGTGCAACATTTACCTTAAATCGGACGAAAATATAAATGGGATCTATATCTAAATCTTAACCGATTTTCACGAAACTTAACACACATCACTCTAGACCTAATTCAAAACGCTATGCCGAATTTCGTAGAAATCGAAAGATGTATAGGGTCTTTAGTGCACCATTTACATTAAATCGGTTGAAAATATATATGGGAGCTATATACATAAATCTGAACCGATTTTTCTCATTTCAATAGGGTTCTTCCTTGGGCAAAATTAATGAGCTGTGCCAAATTTCATCCAATTCGAATCCTAAATGGGATCTGTAACTTGTTTACAATTTAACATGGATAGACAGACGGACGGTCGGACATGCATAAATCGACTTAAAAAGTGATACTATGCATATTCTCAAAAGAAACCATGTGTCTATCTCGTTTTCTTTTGCCTGTTACAAACATATGCACAAAGTGTGGTGAAGGGTATAAAAACTCCCTTCAGCTCGTTAAAAATGACTGCGCTCAGATCGTCTATAAGACTACTTTTCACTCGTCTATAAAGACTCCCTTCAGGTCGTCTATATAAACTACCATCAGAGCGACTATAAAGACTTCCTTCTGATCCTTTAGCTCGACTATACAGGCTTCGCTCAGCTCGTTTATCTGTTCCACTCAACTTGTCTATAAAAAATCCCTTCAGCTCTTCTATTAAGACTTCCTTCATCCTATCTTTAAAGACCACTTCAGCTGGTTCTGGAAGAAAATGTTAAGCTCGTCCATTGAGACTCCCCTCAACTCGTCAAAAATATTATTTTCAGCTTGTTTATAAAAACTTCCATCTATGCAATTATAAAAACTCCTTCTGCTCGTTAAAAATGACTGCGCTCAGCTTGTCTATAAGAGTACTTTCCTACTTTCAGCTCTATCTTTCAAATTTTTTTGTATCATGAAATTTCAGAATCGTGTATGATTGTTGTTGCAGTTCTCCCTTGATTCTTAAAATGACACCATCCATTAGTACTATTTCGTACGGTTTACCAAATTGCCTACATTGTTTTTCATCACCGAAAAATATCTGATGAATGTGCAGTGCACGCGTGTGTGTGTGTACAATGGGATTTGTTTATATTATGGTTCGGCGAATGGGTACTTGTTGCTGTTGTTGCTGTCGTCCAAATCGATTTGTTTATTTTAAAGCTGGGCTGTGATGCGAACGTCTTGTGTCATTTCTCAAACAGATTCTGAACGATAAGGATCAAAATCATCGAAGAATAAAAATCAAAATCAATCCCGTCTTGTGTCAACTAAAAAAAAAGTATACATACAAAATTCTGAAGTGCGTATCTAAACAGTTTTGAAATAAATTAACAAAATAAGTAAAGATGCCGGAAATTTTTGAAATTCCTACACTATCAACTGGTGCCATACCGGTAAGTATCTCGATCATATGTATTTATTCAAAATTGTGAAATAGGCCTGGCCATTGTGAAATTAATTATAATCCATGCTTTGATTTTCCACAGCGTTTCATGTCGGGCGAATTTATAGATTGTCCTGTTCTACAAGTATTGGGCGCTGAATGTAGCACCCAATCGGAAACTGAACGTATCCTACTGTGGCTATCGGATGGTGAATATTACAATAGTTATGTGATGATGGTACCACAATTGAATTCAATGTTCCACGAGCGCAAATTACAAGAATTTACTATAATTCGAGTGGACAAGTACATGTTGTCACATTTAAACGAACACAAAATGTAAGTATTTGAGCCATAATGTGACATAGGCAACGAAGTGATCTAAAGGATATGTTGCTATACGAGCCATCAATGTCGTATGCCGGGTAGAAAGTGAAAGCCTATTATGGTGTTGATGGCTCCTGTACAACAACCTTGACAGGATTATATTCGATTTGACTCAAGTATGGATGAACAACAGGAGGGAGTCATTATAGACAAGCCTAAGGGGAGTCTTTAAAGACGAACTGAAGTTTATCAGTATAGACAAAATGAACGAAGTCTTCATAAGGAGTTGAAGGAAATCTCTAAAAACGAATGGGAGAAGTCTTTATAGACGAGCTGAATGTGAGACTTAATATACGAGAAAAAAATAGTTTTTATGGACGTACAGAATGGGGTTTTT